TCTCTTCATTCTTTCTCTCCTCTTTCCTCTTTCTCTCCTTCTCTTTTTCTCCTTCCTCTTCTCTCTCTCTCACACACACGTTCTCTTCATTCTTTCTCTCCTCTTTCCTCTTTCTTTCCTTCTCTTTTTCTCCTTCCTCTTCTTCTTCTTCTTCTCTCTCTCTCTTTCTCTCACACACACATTTACAAAATTTCAAAAGGCAGGACTTTCCACGAGAGGGTTCCTAGCTATCATACTGACAAATACTGAAGAACTTTAAGGTAAAAGGTAAAGGTTCCCTTCGCACGTCCGTGCTAATCGTTTCCGGCTCTAGGGAGCGGTACTCATCTCCGCTACAAAGCCAAAGAAGAGCCAGCGCTGTCCGAAGACATCTCCGTGGTCATGTGGCCAGCAGGATAAAACGCCGAAGGCGTACGGAGGAACGCAGTTTCCTTCCCACCAAAGGGGTCCATATTTTTCTACTTGCATTTTTTTATATGCTTTCGAACTGCTAGGTTGGCAGCAGCTGGGACAAGTAACGGGAGCTCACTCCGTCATGCGGCGCTGGGGATTTGAACCGCCGAACTGCTGATGTTTCTGATCGACAAGCTCAACGTCTTAGTCACTGAGCCACCCGTGTCCCTTTAGACCAAGCTAAATATAGGTAGTTCTTGAGTTTTGATAGCTTTCTAGAGAACATGGCTGCCCTTACCTGCATGCATTCGTTTTTGCCCATCACGCCGGCGAGCTGGAGGTAGCATTTGACCTGCTGTCGAATCTTCTGGAAGCAATCCACGATGGGCACCGTGGGAATGGTGTGAATGCGGCTCAGGATGTCCAAAGCCACGTTGACCAGGCCCTGTTTCCGAGCAATCTTGCCGTACTGGATAATGGCGGAGGCCGAGGCGTGAACGCCCAACATGGCGTTGTTCGAACTCGGGTCGTGTTGGGCGCTGTTCTCGTAGGCGCTCACAATGGCTAGAAAAGTGATTAAGGAAGGGGTTTTTTTTAGAAACATTGTGACACACAGAACTGAAGATAAGCCTCCACTGTTAGTCCTCGACCTATGACCGCAGTTGGAACCAGGATTGCCCGTTGCTAAGCAAGAGAGTTATGTGAGCTGGGCTCAATGCTATGAGAGTTTTTGTCCTAGTTGTTAAGCAAATCGCTTCAGTTGTTCAGTAGATAAGATGAGATAACTTTTATTGTCACGTTTTCATTTACTTATTTTTATTATGAACACATTAGCCCACATTAAAAATTCAATTGTCTGCTCTCAAGAGAAAAGTGTATATCTACCCAAACTCATGCATAACACACATATACACACCAGAGGTGGTATTCAGCCGGTTCTGGAGAACCAGTAGTGGAAATTTGGAGTCATTTGGAGAACTAGCAAATCCCACCTCTGACTGGACCCACCAACCTCATCTCTTCTCTGCCTCCCATTGAGTCCCAGCTGATTGGCTGGGTCTCCTTTGGTTGCCCTGCACAGGAGAAGGGAGCTGGAAAGCAGGTTAGTGGGGTGGGGAAGGCATGGGGATTTTGCAGTATCCTTCCCCTGCCATGCCCACCCAGCCATGCCTACCAAGCTATGCCCACAGAACCAGTAGTAAAAATATTTGAATCCCATCACTGATACACCTGCTATATACATACACAACTATACACCTGCACCATACATACATACATACATACATACATACATACATACACACATATATACATATAATAATCATTGTCCATTTTGAATACATAGCGGAAGGAAGAAACTTGAGAGTTCACAAGATGGAGGCTATAAGGAACAAAACTGTGACTGAATCTGGATGTTCTTCTTCGGGTGCCATGAAGCTGCCTTCTCCCGGAAGGTAACAAAGAAAACCCATGGTGAAGAGTGGTGTAGCATCCCAGACAATCCTGCAGACCTTGCTCAAGCGTCGCTTATATGCTGGATAGAAGGGAGGGAACTACCGAGAATCTTTTCTGCTGTCCTCACCACTCTCTGCACTGCCTTCCTGTCCGAAGCAGTGACACTCCCCAAAACAGATAGCAATGCAATATGACAGGATGCTCTCAATCATCTCTCTGTAGAAAGTGGTAAGGACAGTGGGAGGAAGATTTTCAAAAAGTCAACTGGACTTTTCTTGGTTTGTGTTTCTTGAAAACATTTCGCTTCTCATCCAAGAAGCTCCTTCAGTTCTTCAGAATATACAACCATACAACTTCAGAACACGTCATGGAGAGGATGTGTAGCGTCCCAGACAATCCCACGGACCCTGCACAAGTGTCACTTATATGCCACGTCCTGGATAGAAGGGAGGGAACTACCGAGAATCTTTTCTACTGTCCTCACCACTCTCTGCACCGCCTTTCTGTCCGAAGCAGGAATGCTTCCAAATCAGACAGCAATGCAATATGACTGGATGCTTTCGAGCGTCACGTAGTCATTCAGAAAACCCGGTTCCTCCACTGACTTTGTCGAAAGTCGGCTGGGAAGATCCAAATGGCGATCGCACAATTTTACCGACGCCATGACACACACCTTGTTTTCTTTCGGCTTCCCAAACAGGTAGAAATGACGAGGGTCTTAGAATCCCAAGAGGACCTCTCACCTTGATAATGGTGCTGCCTCCACATGAAAATGCTGCTCCAGTGAGACAAGTCATCGGACACGATGGGCAGCCGGTTCCTCCAGGTCTTCACCACGGTTTTCATGTCATGAAGGCTGTTGTTCCGCCCGAGGTTGGCTGGTTGCAACCCTGCGTTGATTTGGGCAGCCTCTTGGAGTTCGATGATCTGCTGGGCAGCCTGGGGGAGGGGGGGAGGGAGAGGGGGGGGAAGGGGGGAGGGGGGGGGGGGAGGGAAAGGAGGAAGAGGAAGAAGAGGAGGAGGAGGAGGAGGAGGAGGAGGAAGAGAAAGAAAGAAAACGATGAAAAAGACAAAGGTGGAGGAGGAGGAGGGGGAAGGGTAAGAAGGGGAGCAGGAGGAGGAGGACGAGGAGGAGGAAAAAGAAAAAGAAGAAAAAAGAAGAAAAAAGAAGAAAAGGAGGAGGGGGAGGAGGAGGAGGAGGGGGGGAGGAGGAGGAGGAGGAGGAGGAGGAGGAGGAGGAGGAGGAAGGAGAAGGAGAAGGAGAAGGAGAAGGAGAAGAAGAAGAAGAAGAAGAAATAATTTAACATATTTACCAGTGTACATGCTATTTTTTCTATATTTTCTGCTATATTCTACATTCTATTTCCTTACTTCATAAACACATTAACAAGTTCCAGTGCAGCTAGTCCTTGAGTTGCAACTATAACAGAGTCACTTGATTAAGGCCGCAAGCCAAGGAGTAACTTTACTTACTAGTAAAGTTCCCTATCTTGTTTCAAAGACAGAAAGAGAGAGAGATTCTACACAGCAGAGCAGCTAAGTCCCAGAAGACACATGAACACTGCTGGAATTCAATTCCGACAGAGACAGTAAACTGATACAAGCCATTTGCAGACCTCCTTCGAGAAAGATAAGACTCACGTGAGCTAGTCATCAAAGAACTCTAGGAACTGTCTCCAGTACCCCAAAAGTTAGGCTAGACTTCTGGCGCAATCTCTGGAAATAAAATAAATTAAGGCAAGCGGCCTCCTTCTCCCACTCACCCATAATTGCCATGGTATCAGCTCCCCACAAGAGCTTCACCTTCTTCCTACCCCATTCATCATATAAATTTAATTTTCAAGCAGGTGCTTAATCACCCACTATCTGATCTAGGGAGGAAAAAAAGTAATTACTGCGGAGTAGCTTTATTGCCATGTTGCTAACTTGTCATTCACAGCCCACCTAAGCAATCTAATAATGAGAAGATGATTGAGGTCATCGGTCCCTCTTAAGCCACCACTGGTTGAATCAAAGTTTGTTGAATAAACCACCCATAAATCCAAAGAACCCAATCAGCTATAAATCAAATTTCACAAAGCCCTGCTCTCTTGCATGCTTTCTTCCTCTGGTTAAGGAGATTAACTATCCCAGAATAATGTTTGCAAACATATGGGACTGAAATCCTCCATGTTTCATTATTTGCTCTTACTCTGTAGTTAAACAGGATAACTTGTCAAAAAAAACTTGGTGCAGTGGAATGTGGCCTGGATTCCCAGGTGGGAGGGGGCTGCATTCCAGAGAAGCAAGAGATCATGCAGTTTGGATAGTTGGTGTATGAGAAAGAGGGTGAAGACAGCTCCTCCTCAACAGTTCCCAGAGTCTTATGTTTTATGGAGCAAGTAGTCTGCTTTAGTTTGGCAAGATTCTGTCTAGAGGTGAGGGACAATAAAGAAAGGGACTTAGAAGTACCTTAGCTTGCATCTCTTGGATTTTGGAGTTTGAGACACTTGGGCATCTCCAGAGATCAACCGGTCTTACCTGTAGGAGTGGGGTGTGGACATGAGAAACCACCTGTGGAAGTCTTCGCCATTCTCGGATGGCCAATCCGCTGGCCATTTCCACCAGGCGCTCGATGAAATTCAGCTGCTGTTCATCAGGGTGGCAAATGGCCAAATATCCCCGGTACATGTTGACTTTCCATGCCATCTCTTTGGGGCAACTGAGCTCCACCTTGGAGCAAAAGAAGAGCATAGAGAAGGTGTCAGGAGCGAGCAAATTCCCCCCCCCCCAAGAAAAACACTGGGAGATTTTAGGCAGAAGATGAAATTGTGACCCGTTAATTGCATCAAAGGATGATTTTTCTGCCCCTTTCATTCAATCAAATCTAACTGTTTAACAGCTCAGAAAAATTACTCAAAACCTGGCCCTTTGGCTAAAAAAGGGCTAAGGAAATCCATTTTGATATATTCCAGGTTATTTTTTATTTTTTTTTGCCACAGTGGTTGCAAAAAAAAAAAAAGCCAAGTCCACGGGGAAGCCAGATTCGCTTAACTACCGGGTGACTAATTTTTCCACTGCGGTGTTTCACTTAACAACGGTGGCCAAGAAGGAGCACAGCTAACTGAACCAATGCCTCGAAATTTGAGGCTCGGTTGTGGTCGTTAAGCCGAGGACTACCTGTATATTGAACAACCTTCCAGGGAAAGTCCACCAAGACAAACCAGCAGCATTAAGATAATTACGATGTCAGATCCGTGTATCTGCCATTCTTCAATGGAGGAAGAAGCGGGGGGGGGGGGAGTTGGAAAACAAATCCTTTTGGATGTAACCCGAATATATTAAATCCTATACTGATTCTGTATAACTTGCATATGATATACAACTGGAGGAGTGGAGACAGATGTCTAGAAACCTGTTCCCTCTTGAAGAGATAACAAGACGAGAAGGGACCGTAAAAATTTCAGCTCTGGAAGACGCTCCTGGGAACTCTGCTAAGATAAGTCCCCAGAGAAAGGGAGGTGGAATTAACACGTTGGTCCTTTGTTTTGACTAAATCCACATCTAAATAAGGGGAGGGATTCTAACTTCCTTTACCTATGACTGTACGTCAGGAAATATCTTAGACTCTGACTGGTGTTGGGATTAAATCCCTTTCAATAAAGGATTCCTTTTGAAACACCTAGTTTTCAGAAGTTCATTCTTTTCGGTTGAAGAGAAAAAGTCCAATGCTTACGTAAAGTAGAGTCTTAAGATATTCCCAGGCGTACAGTCATAGATAAAGGAAATGCTTACATACGGTTTGCAAAACTGCATATGGAATTTCTTCTTTTTTTTTTTAAGGAAGGGGGGAAACAAGGAAACAAGAAGAAAACCAGAGCAGCTCAATCCATACCCCAGGTTTTTTTGGGGAGGAGGGGAGGGGTGTTTTTACCCTCCCCTGTGGAGTTCATTAGTAAAATCTTCATGACTCTCCCAGCCATTGAGTCCAAAACCCCAGTTGCTGTCGCATCCTTTTAGCTTGCAAGCCTACTACACGAGGAGGAGCTGTCACAAATGATCTATTCACTTGGCTGCAATTCAAGGCCTCTTTAGCCTAGCCTGCTATTTATTCTTTACCGCACAGCTGCAGTCGAGGTGCACGCAGACAAATGCGCACCAAATCCCGGCGGCCCAAACACACTTGTTATAAAATTATCTTCAGAGGTATCCGTCTCTCTGGAGAATTACTGTTCTTTTAGAGGACAATAAATACACTGGACCTCCATTCTTAATTGTGCAGGGGGGCAGGTGGGGGGGGGAAATAGAGACAACTTCCTGATTCAGGGTTGTTGTTGGCTTATCATGATGAAAAGGTTCCTTCCGCTCACGGTTCATCACAAAATCTCCAGAACCGTAAAGCCTACAAACTTGAAATTCGGCACGTCTGTTCCTCTTGGCTTCTAGGGGCTCCCTAAGAAAGGATTTTTTGAAATGACCATCAGAGCGTTTAGAATATTTCCTATATTATTATTATTAACACGCTCTGATGCTAAGGAGTTCTACTCCTCCTCCCCACCTGAAAAAGAATCTCTTCCAAAGGCAAAACACAAGCAGAGGAGTTTCAGTTTTAGTTTCAGAACAGCAACCAGCTTTAGTCCAGAACAGTTGAGCTAAGCCACGCCCAGGCTCCTTGCTGTCTCCTTCTTGCTCACACATCAAATACTGCTTCAGTTTCCAAATAGCCCTCAACTCTCTCACACACTGACAGGACGCTAGCCAGAGGAATACCGATGGATGCTGGTAGGCAGAGGCAGATATTTTTCTCCCCTTATTTTCCTCCTCAAAAACTAAGCCCGGCCACTTGCAGCATCCATTTAACAGAAGTATCATTTAGCTTTAGGATAGTTTCCTTGGAGCTCTTGGCAGACTTCCTTGGATAGACTCACAATAAGAACCTGCTTGAAATATACATTTGAGCAAGCTATGCAAAGGGGCTTCTTGTTTTCTTTTTGTTTTTAAGAATCATTATATTTGAAGTTCTCAAATATCTCAGCGGGCCTGAATTAGGGGGTTTAGTGAAGAGAAGCCGTGTTTCGAAAAATCAGCCGTTTCTCTCCAGCAGTTACTTATCTCAAATTTCACCTTAAACGGTTAGCGTACAGAGTTCGGTTTAAGAGGCAAATAAGCAGGGTCTATTCCAAGTGTGGAAGATGACTTTTTGGACCCCAATGGAGACCCAAAAGTGGTGGGACTCAATTCCAGGGGGGCGGGGGGGGGAAAGGGGATGAGTCTGCCTACCGAGATGAGGTGGACCGGTTGCTTTCGTGGTGTGGAGACAATAACTTGGTCCTCAACACCAGTAAGACCAAGGAGAGCTTATAGTGGACTATAGAAGGAACAGATCAAACATCCAGCCCTTGCTTATCAAGGGAGACCGAGGGGAGCAAGTAGCCAGTTTTAAGTTTTTGGGTGTTACCCTAAAAGAGGACCTGACCTGGGGTGCTCACATTGCAGCCCTGGTCAAAAGGACCCAGCAGAGATTATACTACCTGAGGCTTCTCAGGAAACAACAACGGAATGAAAAACTGCTGGTGACCTTCTACCGCTGCACCATAGAGAGTATTGTAACTTACTGCACCAGTGTATGGTTTGCCAATTGCACAGGGGCAGATAGGACAGCGCTCCAGAGGGCTAACATCATTGCCCAGAGAATCATGGGTTGCCCTCTCCTCTCTTTGGAAGAGCTTCATAGCTCCCGTTGCCTTAAGAAAGTCCAAAACATTCTCAAAGATCAAAGATTTTTTGAACTATTACCATCTGGCAAGTGCTGCAACTCCGCAGTTATGTGTTGAGCTCCGAGTCTGTCTATTGAAGATGAAACTAACTTGTTTGCTGAAGACTGGAGCTCTGCTCTGAACTGGCAACCTGTTTCTGTCTGAGTTTGCTCCATGTTGGAGAGATCTACAGCTGGTTTGTAAAATCTACTTATGTTTATAAAGATGTTAAGCGAAGCATCAGCCATCTGTGTTTTCTTTTTCCGGCGCTGAGTTATTGCTTCAAAACTCTCAATACCACATAAATTTGGAGCTCCATTGTGGTCGTATGTCAAGGACTACCTGTAATTCCTAAGTGAACCACTAAAGTTTGGGCCTCGTTCCAACTTTTGTCTTGAAGCAAAATCTCTTGACCCGACTTGGCCCTCGCATCAAATACCATCCAAAAAAAAAAAAATCACATGGAAGATGAAGCCGATATGGGCGACAAGTAAACCATGGTTTGGTCACAGATGTTGAATTGGGCAATTGAAGATCGGAACGTATCCAGCACAGAAGGCCAAGCAATCAGTCATAAACCAAGGACTGCCTGCATTCGGGATTGTTGCAACATGTAATCCGTTCCTCTCCCCAGCTAAAATCTTCACACGCATCAAATTGATTTATTATCCTTTTTTCTTTCTCTTTTTGGCTGCCAATCTTCGCTGTCGCTAACGGCCATACTGCGCGCTTTGGCAATGTGAAATAAAACAGTGGCAGACTGATCCCCTAATGCACTTTTCCGTTGAAACCAAACCATCCAAACTGAAATACATCTCAATTAGCACCAGCGGGATTTTAAAAAGCCTCTGCTTCCAGAGCTGGCTTTAAAGAAGCAAACAACAAAAAGAGAGATTTTTTAAAAAAAGGAAAATAAAAGAAAGATTAAAAGAAAGATTAAAAATACAGTATTCCAATATTTGAGAGGCTGCCACGAAGAAGAAGGGAGGGTCAACCTCTATTGCAAAGCATCTGAAGGCAGGACAAGATGCAATGGATCCAGGAGAAAACCTGGAATTAAGGAGAAATTTCCTAAGCGGGAGAGCAATTAAGCAAGGGAACAGCTGGTCTTCAGACATGGTGGGCGCTCCGTCACCGGAGGCTTTTAAGAAGAAACTGGACGGCCGTTTATCTGAAATGATATAGGGTCTTCTGCTTGAGCACAGGGCTGGACTAGAAGATCTTCAAGGCCCCCTTTCCAGCTCTATTCTGATTCTAAGTGTCTCAGACAATTTGGCGATTTCCTCGTTGTGCCAATTCAAAAGTCAAAGGAGACCCAAACTGAACAAAACACAAGTCCAGGCAGTGACACAGAGATGGGTACTTCTACCAATGTCTTTTAACAGGAGTTCCCACATACTGCTGTTGAATAAATTGTAATTACAGGATCCGTCTGTCTCTCTCTCTCTCTCTCTCTCCCTATCAACTCCATTTGGGAACATACGCAATTCCGCCGAGCTCTAAATATTCCTTATTATCTTTTACGTGCATAATAACCCAATGTTCCTTCTCGTCTTAACTATCTCGAATTTAGGTCATCTGGAAAATCAGGAGAGATATGAGCCAGGAGCTATGAGGGCTTCCACCCACTGCGTTCTTGGAGACCAACTCTTTGAAAACCCTCAGTCCCCACCCCGCCTTTTCTCTCTCCTGCCCTCAACAATGGTGCTCTCAAAGACGCCTCCAAATTTCTTTCTCAGGCCATTTGCTGACAATTCTTGAGGATTAGAGAACTGGGGTGTATATTTCTCCGGATATAAATAATAGAGATACAGACAGATAAGGTAAAGGTTCCCCTCGCGCATGCATGCTAGTTGTTTCCGGCTCTAGCGGGCGGTGCTCATCTCCGTTACAAAGCCGAAGAGCCAGCGCTGTCCGAAGACGTCTCCGTGGTCATGTGGCCGGCAGGACTAAACACCACAGGCGCACGGAGGAACGCTGTTCCCTTCCCACCAAAGGGGTCCCTATTTTTCTACTAGCATTTCTACATGCTTTCGAACGGTCAGGTTGGCAGAAACTGGGACAAGTGACGGAAGCTCACTCCGATACGCAGCGCCAGGGATTCGAACCGCCGAACGGCCGACCTTTCTGATCGACAAGCACAGCGTCTTAGCCGCTGAGCCATCGCATCACTACAGATAGATACAGATAAATAGATACAGATAGATAGATATAAAGTAAATGTAAAGATTTCCCCTGTCCAGTCATGTCTGCTTCTAGGGCAGCGGCCTCCAACCTTTCGGGTACCAGGGACCAGTTCCGTGGAGAGAGGTTTTTCTATGAACCGGAGGGGGCATGGTTTCGTGTGCTGCCTACATCCCATGGATGGGGCTTGGCTTGTTTGTGCACCCAGTTTTTGGCAGGCCAAGGCCCAGTACCGGTCCATGGACCAGGGGTTGCTCTAAAGCGGTTAACCCTGTCTATGGGTTTCTCCGTTTCTTAGCCAACTGAACCAGCCTTGTCCAAAGACATTTTCCATGGTCATATAGCCAGCATAACTATACACCGAGGCCCACGGAGCCGTCACCTTCCCACCTGTTGTAATGACGAGGCAGTCGAGTTGTTTGATCATGAACAACTGAATCATGATGATCTTTACTGGAGTCTAGTCTTGCATTTATAAACATTTTTAGTTATCCTCCATCACTGGTTAACTTTGGTTACTGCTTAACTTTCGTTACTGTTTAGCACAGTAATCCATACAATTAATTATCTCCAGTTAAAGTCTAACATATGTTTACTTCCTCTCTCTAATCCTCCTTTGGATGAGTGACTTTGTTTACCCGAGTTGTATTTGCTTGGAAACATTCTTTATCTGAGGTTGGCCATCCGAGATTGGAACATTCCTGCAATTACAACTCTACACCCACCAAAGTGGTATCTATTTATCTACTTGCACTTGAATGGCTTTCAGACTGCTTGGTGGGCAGGAGCTGCAGCCAATAACAGGAACTCACCGCAATGTGCAGCTCTCAAACCTGGGCTCTCAGCTTTGCAGCTGAAAATCTCAGCCTCTTTAACCACTGAACCACTGCACATGTATCTACGTGTGTGTTCATGCACACACACACACACACACACACACACACACACACACACACACACGGTGTATAAATACATGCCCTCCTTTTTCTCCTGCTCTGCCGAAAAGCTGCCCGGCCACCAGACGAGACCGCTGAGCCGCAAAATCATTTGTCTGTATTCCCTCCGCAGGTGCTCAATCAGCGTTTTCTCCTCTTGATGACAAAACCTACGAGTCCCTCATGGGGAGGCTACGCACTGATAGCCGGAGAAACCAGCTGCTCCCTCCTGCAACGGGAATAACCCTACCAAAAGCCTCTGCCTGGGTGTTGGTGTCTGTCTGTACAGCTGCTGGCACACTGAAGGGGGAATTACAGGCTGCCTTGGCCTGGTAGATGGGAAAGACTGGGTAGGAAATTGTTTAGTGTGTGTGTGTGGGTGGGTGGGTGGGTGTGTAAGGGAGAGCAGAAGCATCAAGGGGGGAGGAAAGGCAAATGAGTTGATGTTTACATGAATTGAGACCCCTCACATCCCGGACACAAACAGTTTTAACTCCTACCCTCAAAACGACGCTATAGAGCCCTGCACACCAGAACAACTAGACACAAGGGGAGTTTTTCCCTGAACGCCATCCCTCTGCTAAACAACTATTTCCCTCAACACTGTCCAACTATTTATAAAGTCTGCACTACTATTACTATTAATCTCATCACTCCTTATCACCCATCCCCTCCCACTTGTGACTGTATGACTGTAACTTCATCGCTTGTATCCTTACGATTTATATTGACTGTGTCCTAGTACGATTTGATTGCTTATTGTACCCTATGACTATGATTAAGTGTTGTATGTTAAGATTCTTGACTCTTGACGAATGTATCTTTTCTTTTATGTACACTGAGAGCATTTGCACCAAAGAC